TAATATTTAACACAATAACTTATTTTATTGTAATTTAACCTTATTAAAGTATGACAAATCCTTTCATTCATCCCATTTTTTATATCATATGAATTAAACTAATTTTTTCTTACTTTCATATATTGAGATTACCATTAAGAGATACCTATTATTATTTGAACTAAAATCGATTCATATTTATCAAATCCTATGAATTAACTCTCGTAATCTATTCTTTCATTCCAATTTAAAACTCTTATAACCATGGGCCTTAGCTTGGGGGATTAAGAAACGGATGCTCCATACTTCCACTCACCAGTCACTCTGATGGAATTCATCATTTTATATCCCCTTCCCACCCAACCGTAGTACCAAATTCCTAACCTTTACAATTCTTAATACAAGAATTTACGTCTCTAAATTTGGTTCCTGCTAATGATCCATTGAAGGTTCCTTGTCTCTTTACAAAAAGAAATGCTACAAGACGAAGAACAAAAAGGAATATGGGTTAAAGGCTTTTAAAGGGGATTCAAAATGGAGCACGCCAACTTAAAACGCAATTCCCGGTGCTTAAATTAGAGTTTACAGGCGTGGAGGTAAAGGCTGGCAAAACTCCACCCACACCCACCTCCAACCCTTACCCCCAGGGGAGGGCTCTCCTTTTCATTAGCAATAGTACCCATATCCAAACATCATAATCACCACATTATTCAAAATATATCTTCACAAATTAGGTGAGTTCAAAATCCAAATTAATCAGCCTTTTGGGGCATGTGCTGTTTGGTAATGCCATTTTTAAAAAAATCATTAAAATATTGTTGGACCATACAAGTCTCAATGGGCTAGCCTCCTGTTACAACTGCATGCCATTATCCCCAGAAGCACCAAACTCTGTGAATAGCGACTTACCACCTTGTTAGTCTTTTTTCATTTTTTTTTTAAAATCTTTTTTAAGTTAACGTTTTGTAAAGTTTAAATTTCAGAGCTTTTTTGGATTCTCTCTGTGCCCAATTTCCATTCTCTTTCCATTCTTCTATTCTATTCCCTTTTCTCTCTCCCTCTTAACTCCCATGCAGTGGCGGAGCCAGGGGGGTGTGAGGGGCGGCGCTCGCCCCCCCTGAAATTTGAGAATCTTGTAAATTAGCATAGGAAAAATTATCTAACCCCCCCTGAACTTTGAAAATTTTAGTATTTTGCCCCCCCTGAAAAAAATTTCTGCCTCCGCCCCTGCTCCCATGGGAAGATTCCACTCTCATCCCTATTATCTCAAAGGGATTTTTTAAGGGTACAGCTAAATATTATTTATTTCAGATTAGATTAATTAAAGATACTTTAATTAATGAGTCATAATTTGTGCTCCAAGAACCCAATTACATAAATTCTATCTCAAATTAGTTTTTTAAGCACTATAATTTAAGATGGGATTTTTTAAATATAGGTTAAATTTTATTAATTATAATATTTATAATTAAATTGTATAAAATTTTATATAAGATTTAAATAAATTATAACATAAAATTTTATACAAAATTAAATAAAAATATCTTAATTAGTAAATTTTAACTTATATTTTTAAAATACAAATTAATCAAACACGTTTAAAACTTAATGTTTAAAATCTCGTAATTGCGCTTAATTATAAACAATTGGGGCGGTTATCTCCTGGAATTAAATTGTTGATCAAGTGGGTCCTAGGAGGAGGTCCTATCCTATCCTCATTTGGTGATGAGATACAATGAGACAAAAGTTTTAGAAACAAATAAAATGTATAAATATATCCAGTGCTCCTTTTGTTCCATTGAAATTGAAACCTCAAGGTCACCAATGACACTGTACGAAAATAAATTAAAGTTTGTGTTTCTTTGTTTGGAAGGAGCGAAGAAGCAACCAAAGTCATGATGCTTTCGAGGATTAAAACAGAAAATGACTTGACTATGGTCTTAAATTCATACCAACTCAATCTCTATACTCTTCTTTCTTTTTTTCTTTTTTTTTCCCTTGTTGAAATATGTTTCCTTGTGAGTGTGAAAAAACTAAAGATCTCACATCAAAAAGATATAGAAGAAAATAGTGATTTATATATATATATATATGAAGACTCATGGAACTAATAAATTAATATTTTTATTCAAATGTGATGTCGAAACATATAATGGACCATTTAATATTACCCGCTTGGTAATTTCAGTTTTGGACCGAGCTTAATAAAAGTGAGAGTGAATGTTATGTAAACTCATGACGAGTATACCCATGGATAATATTGTGCTCATGATGAGTATACTCATGGATCATGTCATGTATGTATGTATTTAAAAAAAAAAAATGGTTGAACTTTCACAAGACTTCACAACTCGTGAGGAAACTAAAGATCCCACGTCGAAAAGATATAAAAGAAAATAGTGGTTTATATATGTAAAGACTCATGAAACTAATAGATTAATTTTTTGATTCTAATGTGGTATCGAAATATGTAATGGACCATTCAATGTTACTTCATTAAGTCGTATGTCCCCCGACATCCCTTTTCTTTGGCCATCCTATCTGTACACTTCTTAGAAATCGCAATTTTGACCAAAAAAAAAAAATTATGGGGTTTTTGAATTTAGACTCTAGAAAATCAGGAGAAAGAGATCGATAAGTTTGTCAAGTGTCAACCATACCAAGATATACATACTAGAATCTCGAACTTGTTCAGTGAGTATTAATTAAACCAAGACTTAATTTGTATAATCATCTTTTGTCCACATGACAAAAGAAAAAGAAGAGGATAGAGAGACTTCTTTTTTGCTGTTCAAGGGCAAAGAATTATTCGCAAACAGAAAAACCAACTCCATTGGTACGAGTTTAAACTTTAAAGAGCTTTTCCTTCCACAACTAAAAGCAAAAACCTCTGAATGATATATAGCCTATAGGATAGCACAAATTCTATCGCCACCCTCTCCATGAGAGGGTGTTTGGGTTGGAACTTTACCTATACTCTTATCTGTACTGATAATTTTTTTAAAGTAATATTAATTTTTTTTATAAAAGAAAAAAAAAGAGAGCAAAAGTATCTATATCACAATTAATCAAAAGTTCTTCTAACATGCACTTTTAAATTAAAAATACAGTAAATATATATTTTTTAATCTTTAATTTATGTAAAAAAATACAAAAAAATTTAATAGTAATTTTAATACAAATATCACTTAGATGAATTT